GATCAGATGATACACATGCATGAATGTAATGTAGATAAAGTTCAGGTGTTTTCTAAATCAGATGATACCCATAGATGGAATTTAATGTAGATAAAGTTCAGGTATTTTCTAGATCAGATGATACCCATGTATTGAATTTAATGTAGATAAAGTTCAGGTGTTTTCTAGATCAGATGATACCCATGCATGGAATTTAATGTAGATAAAGTCACTTGGTGACACACGTTTTTTCACTGTGCATTAAACTGACTTCATTATTGTAGTTGTGGTTCTGTATTCCACCTATTTTAAAATTAATAATGTTTTTTTGAATGTTAATAAAGCACATATTTATGTATGATTCTGTATGTGTTAACCACATAACAAATGCAAGTTTCACTTAGGGGTCAGTCTGGGCTCAGTGTTATATTACTAAACTTAAGAGTTTTATTTGTTTTATACTTTATAATGAGATAAGAACTTATACTTATAAACTTAAATTGATTTAATAGTCCATACACTTGCTGTACATCTATCGTATATTTCTAAGGTAAGAGAAGCTCAAAATATAAATTATGTCGCACACCAAAAATTTATTTACTCTCTTATCATGATATCAATTTGCAGGTTTTGTTACCGAGATGATGGCAAACTGTAGATCAAACTGAAGTCTATTTATAAGCTGTATTTCTAAGTCATTATTGTGGTAGTTTTTGGATGTTTAATAAAATGTGAGGTTTATTACAGTACATTTGATAGTAAACTAAATAAGGGATTTATATTAAGAAAATTGTACAGAAAACATTATATCCCCAGTTACTGCCTTTTACAGTAATTTAAAGTATGACTTGTTTTTCAAGTTTTTTTGTCTGCATCACATAAAAAAAGATAATTCTTCTACTTTGTTGCAATATCAGTCATAAATGTTAGTGGAATACCAAACCAGACATTGAAATGTAATATGGCAAGAGCATTTTTATAGTTTTTTCTTACAAGTGTATACCCTTCTTTTTAAAGAGCATGGAAAAAAAAGAATTAACTTTAGATTAAAAGTAGATTTGACCTTAAAGAAAAATGTGACTTTGAATCAAATATTGTTGACCTTTGCAACTACTTGTATTGTCTAAACAGTTAGATATCAAAGTCTATTGATGTATAAATAAACAAAAAATTTGTCTTCCAGGAATTGAATATTGATGCAACAGATGTAGAAAATCTATTAGTTTCTTGTATACTAGACAAGTAAGTACTTCTTTAAATTAATTCTAAGTAAAGACTATGAACATATGATTTTGTTTTAGATATGTCCTGTAGTGACTCCCTTAGTTTTGTGGTTCTTAAAACACTTGTCAGAATTCCAATATTAGTAATTCATGACATCTTTTTCATAACAACTTTAATCCCAACTAGTTTGGGGTCAGCTGATAATTTTGTGAGCCAATTATTTTTACACCTGGGTGGTTGGCCCAGATGGGAACCATATAGGATGAGCATGTTCAGCAACAGGGATTCAAACCCTAACCACCAGGGCATGTCAGACTAGTAATTCATGATGTGTGTAGTTAAATCAGATGTATTTATTTTATGTTTAAACTTTTACAAAATATTTTTAGTGCTTGGAAAACTTTCCTTATTATGATTGGTTAGTACACCTATATATAAGAAATAACAAAGCTTTTTACTTTTTTTATCTACAGCTTGAGAAATTTACAGTTATAAAGTAGCCTTTTTTTTATTTATGGTTTAAATGGAAAAGCTGATGAAGTATTAAACACCAACAGGCCTAAAAATTTGTGATAAAAATCACAAACTGTTTTTTTTTTCCACATTCCTCTTAACCCTTTCAAGTGAAAGGACATGTCATCTCATTTGTTGATTCAAATTCAAAATTCTATTGAACTACTAGAAACTATTAGAAACTCAAATTACCGATATTGACAAGCTACAATATAAAATAAGAGCCTCTTATCTTTTCAATTTGCTAGGATATTGCTTTTGTAATAAATTAAATACAGTGGCACCCCGCTCACCTCTTTCCATTTTTGGAGCTCCCTTAT